GTAGAGTAAATTTCACAAGACTACGGCCCTCTTTGTTTAGGCTTAAGCTTATTGGCCTAGACTTTTAAGTCATCTTATTGGCTTCTATGATTTATAAGCCAGTGGATTTAATGTCCTAAGTTTAGTGGTTGAGCCATACATCTACCTCACATAAGCCAAAAAAAGCTTCTCCAACCTAGCTTTTGGCTTAATAGTGTTAGAGTGGCTTATGGCTTCAAAAAAGACAAACGGAAAAGCTGCTTGTTTATTTAGGCTTAGACTTTTTGACTTATAAGTTGGCTTATAAGTCTAAACAAAGAGGGCCTACAAGTACTTTGATTAAGTTATCTCAAAACTACAGATTTAAGATGATTTATCACAAATTACATATTTAGTACTGAATTTGTCACATAAGTACAAATAAGCATCGTATCACCGAACTACAAGTCTAATGTTAAATTAGTCACAAAATTAGGATGTTTATAAATCAAACATAACATTAGTACTACATATTCAAACATTAAAATATATAGTTTTAGGATAATTTTGTGATTAAATCTATAGTTTTACGGTACTTAGTTTGAAGCATGTAGTTTTGTGATAAATTTATTATTAAATCTACAGTTTTGTGGTACATCACTTTAAGGTGGTGTTTGAATCTCCTGAAGATAAAGATAAATATTAAGTGTTTCACGCAAAAACGAGGTGGTAATAACGTGTGATTAATTGAGTTTTAATTATTATAAACTTAAAAAATGGATTAATATGATATTTTAGAACAACTTTCACATAAAACGTTTTTGCACAAAACATATCGTTTAGCAGTTTAAAAAACGTGCCACGAAAATCCAAAATTTAATCACATGACCAAAATAAGTATTTATGTAATTTAGTACCTATAGTTTTACCAAAATTACTCTAAAAAGTACTCCTACCCGCTCTATTTTAGAATTAGCCTTCAATTTTTTTAGGCTATCTTAAAAGTTAGGCTTATTGTTCACTCCTACCACCATTCCATTAGAGAAGGTACAATAGCAGACTATAAGTCAGATATAAACATATTTTAAGGAGATAAAAGAGAAGAGAGAAGAGCAGCATGGTACATATATGTAGCCAGCTGTAGCACGGACTTCAAAAAATAGTGTGTGTATGATAGGTAGGACCAGGTATTAATAGAGTATGTAACATTGGCCTTGTTTAGTTCCAAACTTTTCTTCAAACTTCAAACTTTTCCATCACATCAAAATTTTCCTACACACATTATGACCCTGTTTAGATGGGACTAGAACTTTTAAGTCCCTATCGTATCGGATGTTTGGACACTAATTATAAATATTAAATGTAGACTATTAATAAAACATATCCATAATTTTGGATTAATTCGCGAGACGAATCTATTGAGCCTAATTAATCCATGATTAGCCTATGTGATGCTACAGTAAACATTCTCTAATTATGGATTAATTAGGCTTTAAAAAATTGTCTCGCAAATTAGCTTTCATTTATGTAATTAGTTCTGTAAGTAGTCTATATTTAATACTTTAAATTAGTGTTTAAATACATAGACTAAAGTTAAGTCCTTGGATCCAAACACCACCTAAACTTTCAACTTTTCCATCACATCGTTCCAATTTTAACCAAACTTTCAATTTTCGCGTGAACTAAACACACCCATTGTATGAATTGGCTATTAAGTTGACTATAGGTGATTTGAAGTTATTAGGGCAGTAGGTACTCCTACTCTGCAATTACTATTAAAAAATCTGGAAGAAGAAGAATAAAAGAAAAATGTTGGCCTAGAAATGGATACCAATGGCGGTAGCTAGCCTAGGCGTATATTATACTCTACTCTACCATGACCCCTTCTTCGCTCCATACTCTACAAGTGTAGAGTACTCCTGAAATGGAGTAACGAAGACCGACGAAGATCAAACAAAAACGATCAAAGCAGAGGAGCATAGACATCAATGCCAATCGTCAAAATGCAGGCAAGAGCTAGCAGTGTTGGTCGTGGCAACAACAGTACTAAAAATTTTCTCCGACAGATCGAGCAGGACGGACGCCACGATGGCCCGGATTTGACGTGACTCTGATTTGATCTGTGATATGATGTGATGTGTGATGTGATGTGATATGACCCGTCGGGGCCCTCGTCCTCCTACAGAACCTGAATCAAACGTCGCACCCTTTTCCACCGCCGTCGCCTATCGCCGCAACATTTAGATTTTAAGTTAAAATTAAAGATGGTGTGATTGAAAAGTTATGTCCGTATGACAGGTTGATGTGATAGAAAAGGACTGAAGTTTGGATCTAAACTTTAAATCTAAACACAGCCCTATTTTAACGAGGAGTAACTCAGGAGAGGATGTTTGGTTGGCAGTTGGCACGCTCAATTTGTCTCATCTTTTAGACTACCTCCGTATTAAAAAAATATAAGTTAATTTTTCACTCCAGTCTTCCGGTTAGCCTAATGAAACGTCCAAAGGTCTTCTGGCTAGCTCCACAAGGTGGTGGGCTAGATGACACGATGGCCGATCTAGACGACTTGAATCAAATGTGGGCTAGATGACCTGAATCAAACGTCCTGCTCGATCTATCGCCTATTAGAGGTAGCTCCGCAGGGTGGTGGGCTAGATGACATGGATTCGAAGTCTCACACCTTCTAAATATTTGATATTAGTTCATTCCCTAATATTCACGTCTTTTTTACCCATTTCACACATACAGATAAAAAAAATTAAAATGTCCTTACTATATCAAATCTCAACGCAATTATTTCTCACTTTATCTACTACCAATATAATAACTACTCCCTCCGTCTCATAATATAAGGGATTTTGAGTTTTTGCTTGTAACGTTTGACCACTCGTCTTTTTCAAAAAAATTTAAAATTATTATTTATTTTATGTGTGACTTACTTTATTATCTACAGTATTTTAAGCATAACTTTTTGTTTTTTATATTTGTAAAAAAAATTTGAATAAGACGAGTGGTCAAACATTGCAAGTAAAAACTCAAAATCCCTTATATTATGGGACGGAGGGAGTATTATATACTTTCACAAATTATGATGAAATGATTACTCTATAAATAAACTTATTTTGGGACCAAGGAAAGATGCTGAAAATAAACTTAATATGGGACGAAGGAGGTGGTAGAGATATCGATCACCACAATTTTTATCTATACCATCCACTTAAAAAGTTTAGAGTTAACACTCTATTACACTAGCCCCAATACACTTGTCATCAATCTACTTCTTTTTTTTATCTCGCACTTTTTGAAGTTTGTATAAAGATTGTCCCTTTACGAAGGTGGGCTTATCCTCTCTCTTTTCTTCTCTCCCACAAATCATCCTTTTAGCCTAGTTTGTTTCTTGTCTAAATTCGTATTATTAGAATGTGACTCGTCTCATTCTAGATTTGTTTCTCTTAGAGTGGAGGATGGAGTATTTTAGATTGCCTTATATTTAGTATTTTAGATTTGTTTCTCTTATATAGCGACCTAGTACCGTGGTGAACATGAAGAGATGTTTGATTCGTTTTGTTCGAGGACGTAGTACTTTAAGGCAACATTTGTTAGGAGGACAAAATAGGACAAAATGAGAACAAATCTCTCTATTTTTTCCTGGCACGCTTTCTAGTTTCTTAAATTATGTTTTGATACAGTGACTTTGTAAATTTTAAGATATGTCGGTCTAAATTTTTTTTGGAGGTTTTCATAGCAACAACGTGATGTTCACAAGAATGAGCGTCAACTCGTTACGAGTCGCATACTATGTTTTAACTGTATTTTTTAATTAAAAAAAATCGATGAAGAGCTTGATCAGCGCTCCAGCTGTGTGTTGATTGGTGACGTGTCGTTTTCTAACACTGCGTGCGCCATCCCATCGCTCCCCGCGTTTCCCGGATCTTGGACGACACGCCCCACGGCCCACTACCTCCCGTTTCATCTTGGGCTGGGCCCCATTTCGTCAGTGCTTTGTGCATGCCATTGCAATTGCAATGCACCCAGCCAAGCAGAATGGAGTGCCACCATGTGCCACGTACCATGTCGGTTGCCGGGTGGTATACATGGGATTTGGGTGTTCAATTGAATATCTAAAATCTCTTATATTATTGAACGAAGGTGGTATATATGTATACTACTTCCTCTGTTTTATAATATAGGACGTACACACATTTTAAGATTAGACTTTAGAAACATTTGACCAACAATTACTGTAATATAAATTAAATTTTATTTGCTAAAATTAATATCATTGGACTGATATTTAAATTTATTATAAGGTGGTTATAATTTTATTGTAATAAACCTTATAGTATGAGAAATTATAAGTCAAAGATTAGTTCTATAAAAACTGTACCAAGTTTTACCATGTCTTATATTATAGGATGGAGGGTATATACTACTAGCACAATATATTCGTCTACTGATGGTAGTCGTAGAGATGGCAATGACCCCATTTTGGGTCACCAAAAATAAGAAAACATACTTTTATCATCACTGTCATCGTATTATAAATCGGTACTTCCAACTTCTCATAAAAACACTAGTAGTATCAAATTTCAGAAATGTTGCAGATTTTGAATGTGAATGTTGGATCGCGGAGGCTGTGTTCGGAACGGTTGGTTCCCAGCTCATCCGCCTCGTTTTTCACACGCATACATTTTTAACTGTTAAACGATGTGTTTTTTATAAAAAGTTTATATATAAAAGTTGCTTAAAAAATCATATTTATTTATTTATTAAAAAATAGCTAATACTTAATCAATCACGTGCTAATGAACCGCTCTGTTTTCCGTGCGCGTGTTTTTAACCCATCGTTACGAACAGAGCCTAAGAAGGGCCTCAAACGCAATGGAGTCTCGATCTGTTAGGCGGGCCCAAGCTGTGGATTTCACCGGGCCCCTTTAGGCCCAATTGGCCTAGTTCTCGTGGGCCCGGAGTTCTCTATCAAATTAAGTGAGAGAAAAAAAAATAAAAGCGGAGAAAACAAGGCACGCCGCCGCCGCCGCTCGATGCGTTTCCCCGTTCGCCTCTCGCCGCCGGCCACCGCGGCGGCCGCCACGGCCGGCGCCGTCCTGGCCGCCGTCGCTCTCCGCAGGTACCTGCGCACCCGCTCCTCCATGGCCACGTCGGCGCACCGGCGCGGCAGCGCCGGTGGAATCACCCTCGTGGTCTCCGGCAAGTCCACGGAGGACCAGCATCTCCTCGCCGCCGCCGGCGGCGCGCTCGTTCTAGGGGAGGGCGACTCCGTCGAGGATATCACCGTGTCGCTCGACTCCGGCGCGGGCGCGGGCGCGGGCGCGGGCTTCGACGCCGGCGCTTACATGGCGGCGCTCCGGGCGTCCCGCTTCGGGAGGTGGATGCTCTGGTCGCCCAGGCTGGCCTCCACGCACGACCTCGTGACGCAGTGGGTGCAAGATTTGCTTGGTTTTTTCTTGGCGCTGTTTGAATTGGGATTCTCTTGTTGACTCCTCTCTTGCTCGGAGTGTGCAGGAATTTCGCCAAGCTTCCGGTGGGCGTCGTCTGCGTCGCCGACGTGCAGTTCAAAGGGAGAGGTTAGTGGGATGGATTGATGAATAGACAGTCTAAGTGGTGATTGTTTGTTGCTGTTACTGTTCTAGATGTGATCAATCCTTGACACTTTAGGTGGATTAATTAGTGTTGTCTGCTCTAATGCTCTCTAGTTCTGACATGTTTGATGGTACTGGATGTATGACTCGAGAAATAGTGAACTTGGTGGATGAATTTGGATTTGTAAGTAATCCATGCCATGTATGTACTCGACTTGGTTAAACAGAGAAGTTTCAGAAGTGAGACCATCCTGGCAATATAGTGCGAGAAATGCTGATCAAAACTTGTTTTTCGATGATTCAGCCTTATTGTTTCTACGAAAATTCTTTGGCTTACCGCTTACATATACTGGCTAAAAGAGTCCGTTAAGTACTTGATTGTTTCATGCTTCCTTTTATCCATCGCCACAATGCGATGTGCATTTAGACCAGATCCTAATCTCACTGATGAATTTATGCAGGTCGTTCAAAGAATGTGTGGGAATCACCACCAGGATGTCTCATGTTCTCCTTCACTTCACAGATGGAGGATGCACGGAAACTGCCTCTTATGCAGTACGTTGTCTGCCTTGCCATGACCGAAGCCATCAAAGAACTGTGTTGTGCTAAGGTGAATAATAGTGCAGTACCACTAATTCAGTGATTATTCGTTGTGCAGACCATTTATCACATTATGGATATTTCCCTCAACAGAATCATGGATATTTTTCTGAGCTTGACCATCTTTGTGGTTCAAATCAGGGGCTTTCAGAACTTGATGTTAAAATAAAATGGCCCAATGATCTCTATCTGAAAGGGCTAAAAGTTGGTGGCATTCTTTGTACTTCGTCTTATCAACCAAAAGTATACAATATTTGCACCGGTGAGTATTATTTCTAATACTGATGATAATAATACCATTCACCACCAAATGTTAAGGTATTTCTTAAGATAAATTTGCTCTTATTTCTATCCTTTCCAGGTATTGGTTTAAATGTTGACAATGAGGAGCCTACAACATGTTTGAATGCTGCACTGAAAGAAATGAATGCTAATTTGCCCACATTGAAACGTGAAGACATACTGGCATCATTCTTCAATAAATTTGAAGTTCTTTTTGAGATCTTTACAAATGAAGGTAACTTATATTTCCCCCTCCTCTCCTGTTGTAAGTGGCCACATGTTCAAGGCTTCAACCACAATGTCCTTTTGATGCATGCCCATAGACATGCGTTTTGCTGCTATTTTTTTTTAACTCGTGAGTGATATTGTACTGCAGTGTATAAATTTTAGGGTCAAAATTGAATAGATGTCTCAATTTCTATTCTTAAATTGAATAGATGTCTCAAAATTGAATACCATGACATTCTTAATTTCTATTCCAGGATTTCAGGCGCTTGAGGAACAGTACTACAATTCATGGCTTCATAGGTATGTAGTGTCTCAATGCTTTGGATCCCCATTGTTTGATTTTGTCTTGAATTTTATCTGCTAGCGCTGTATATCCATGGGTCACACAGGTAAAAGGTGGCTTCCCAGACTCTGGCATGGCAATCAGACTGATCACCTAGATATATCCATGAACACCCTAGTATCTTTTACTGCTAATTGAGTCATTTGCCATATGAAACTTGTGTGTGAGAATGGTTGATGGAAAATATTTGGAAAAATGTTGAATCTTTTGAGAATCACCTTGCATGTCATATATTTTCTACATGTGATTCGATATTACTGAGGCAGATCTTCGCTGATATGCAGTGGACAGAAGGTCGTTGTGCAGGATGGGCCTGAAGCCCAGCATGCAGACAGTGTGGTTACTATTCAGGTTAACACCGAATTTAGGAATTATGATTAAAATAGACATTTTCAGTTCTCTGACCATTCTGTTCTTTTTCAGGGGTTGACACCAGCTGGGTACTTGTATGCTATTGGCGAGGATGGCAAAAGCTATGAGTTGCACCCTGATGGAAACAGGTATTGTCTTGTTATCCATCGCTAATATCCTCCTCATGTGCTAATCTTAGTATCCATATACTATAAACTTCTCTTCTGATTTCTGTTGTCAACAATGTAAAGCGCCACATGGTATCAGATTTTTTTTTTCAAGAGTGACATCTGAGACAATTTCCTGCACTGCAGCTTTGATTTCTTTGCAGGGTTAGTGCGAAGGAAGATGGAAACGTAGTTCTACATGAATACATACATAGGTAGAAGAGCAGTGTACAATAATGGATAGAAGGCTGCTAAAATCCACATACTTGTAAACATGAGGGGTTGAAATGTTTTCAACTATGTAAATTAACTTTGAGAAACTGCTACCACCTTTGGGTTTGCTACTGCTAACATGGCGCCATCAGGCACAAGATCAAAATAAGCCTTCCAATTCAAGGTGGGATTAAAGAAAAGAAAAGGAGTTGACCTGTTAAGTCCTGTAGAGACTCAAGGACCAGAAGGAGCCATGCTTTGAGTGAAATGTTTCTGGCTTTCTGCTACCCTTTTGTAAGTTGTAACTTTCTTGAAACAGTGTAACAATGATTGATGCAATAATATATCATCTGAGCTTGTTAACTTATTGTATCCTTCAATTGTTGATGGTAAAAACTGAAAATAAGAGCGATGACTGAATTCACCGTACTGGTGAGTTAAACTTTTCTAATGGCAAAATTTTAGGCCTCTCTGGTTCTGAAAGGTATCGTTTCAGGTGTGCATTCATCCTGATTATGAAAAAGGAATGAAAGAAAAAAAAAATCTTATAATCACAACCCGTCCGCTTCACTTGCTTCGAAAAATTAAAGAAAATAACAATTGAAAAACAATATAGTTCACCAGATTAGAAGACTCTTGTGCTGAAGTGTCATGGATGACGTACTCCACAACTAATCTACAAACTGCCAAGTCGCAGTTGTTTGTACTCATAGACTTGGTTGCGTTCCTTTTGGCTTATAGGGTGAGCTACAGATTTTCATTCACGACCACTTTTTTCAAACTAATAAATGATGTATTTTAAGAAGTATATAGAAAAGTTTTCTTAAAAATGATATTTTTTAATTTACAAAAGTTAATATCTAATTAATTATATACTAATGACTCGTTTAGTTTCACGTGTTGCTGCAGATAATAAAATTGGTTTTTCTCAAAGACGAAGAAAGCGGTCACAAACATGATCCCAGAGTCAGCTGTCGCAGGACATCCCTGAACAGACAGCAAGTATTTCTTTATTTCTTTCTTTTTTATTTATTTATTTATTTATTTATTTATTTACTAGTAATATAATATATAAAAAGGCGCCCTTGGCTGCAGCTGCTTCACGAGTCCAACTCGGCTCATCCTGCTGCTCCGCCCTTCTCAAGATCACCAAGGTGAGTTCCTCCCCCTCCAAATCTTGGGAGAAAGATGGGCCCTTTGCTTTCTCTCACCTCCAAATCCCCTGCTTCCTGATCCGTTTTCAGCAGCCGCAGTAGCTCGGCGAGCCGGCAGCCGACGGGTCCAATGGCGCAGGATGATTCGGTTGTTTCTGCTCAGTGGCTGCATGAGCACTTAGGGCAGCCTGATGTTAAGGTGAAGCAGTTTTCAATTTTATCATCTACTCCGCATGCAATACTTAGGGCCCTCAGTTCAGAAATACTTTTATGCTTGAATCTTTTTGGCAGCATTTTAGAAGTAGTAGCAAACTGTTCTTGATTATTGTCCAGTAATTAGTTATGCCATGTAAGAAGGATGTGGAGTACAGTACCTACTGTTTAGTGATGATCAATATAAGAAATTATTGGTTGTTTGCCAGTTTGATTATAGTATCTTACTTTCTTGCATGTTGTTTAGTTTTGTTGATCTGCCAAAAAAAAAGCATTGGAAGATTATTGATTGATTTGTTAGTAACATTCGTCCACTTGATATAGGTGCTGGATGCTTCCTGGTACATGCCTGTAGAGAAGAGGGATCCATGGCAAGAATACCAGGTTTGAGGATCAGTTGTACTGAAAGTACTGAACTTTGTTTCTGCTTTTGTGAAAATGTTTTCTCAGCTCAAGCATTCTGATTTACTCAGGTGGCCCATATCCCTGGTGCGCTGTTCTTCGACATAGATGGCATAGTTGACCTGACAACTGATGTGAGATGTTTCAAGATACACCTTTCATTCTCATTTCACTTATTGTTTGAGACTTTGAGTTGAGTAAATAATCAGCACAAACATCCTTGTATGACTTGCACTTGTTAATTTTGCTACAACTGGAAACTTATTCTTTCAATTAATCAAAATTTTCTTACTGTATGAAGTTTTTCTGTCCTTTTTTAAGGCATGGCATATAAATTTAGATATGTGATATATCTTTACTTCATGAATTTGTGTCAGTTGCCACACATGCTGCCATCACAAGAGGCTTTTGCAGCCGCAGTTTCTGCGCTCGATATAAAAAACCATGATAAAGTTATTGTTTATGATGGAAAGGGATTTTTCAGTGCACCTCGTGTATGGTGGTAAGCACAAAACTGTGATTTTTTAATACTGCGACAATGAAGTTGACAGAATCCACAGCCTTTGTTTTACTTAAATTAATATGTTCAACATGACAATTTTATCTTTGTATACTCTTATCAATCAACAGGATGTTCAGAGTTTATGGACACAATAAAATTTGGGTGTTAGATGGAGGTTTACCTCAGTGGCGAACTTCTGGATTTGTTCTTGAGAGTAGCACCCCTGGTGATGCAGTTCAGAAAACTAAAGCTGCTAACAGTGTTGTTGAAAGGATTTATAATGGTCAACTGGTAAGCTGGCTATAAATACGGTCTAACTATGCATCATGCAAACTGTTTTTAACTTATTGAAGATTTATGGATTCATTTTTCAGGCAAGTGATGTAACATTTCAGACTGAATTTCAGCCTCATATATTCTGGACACTAGAAAAGGTCAGCCTTTCCTTTTATAACTGAAAACTTTATAGAGTTATGAATGAACATGACCATGAACTCACGCGATGTGTTTCTTTCTATAGTGGTCTCCAACTCTAAACTTTAGGTTTCATGATCTTAAATTTAACCTCGTTAAAAGTTGTGTTACTTTAACCATAAGGAAATGAAGATGACTGTCAGGACTCTGAAACCTTGATTATCCCTGTGTGTTGGGCTGTTTTTGTTTTGAACAGGTTAAACATAACATGGATGCACAGTCTCACCAAGTCGTTGATGCCCGATCAAAGGGCAGGTAAGTTCTCCTAATCTTTAGTACTTAGATTGCAATATCTATTTATAGAAGTTCTAACGATAACTATAAGGTGCTAGTATGTAAAGTGCCAATCAAATATGATTACTTATCTCTGTATTAGTAGAATAAGTAGTAATAGATACCTTGACAGCAGTTTATTACTTCGTGAAGAAAATCACTTGCACATCGTTTGCAGATTTGATGGTGTAGCACCAGAACCACGGGAAGGAGTAAGAAGTGGACATATCCCAGGGACAAAATGTGTTCCATTCCTTGAGGTTGGTTATAATGCAAATATGCAACATATCACATGGTATTTGGGTAGTCACAGACTTCTAAAAACTGGCTTCATTGATCTTGTTACAGATGTTTGATGATGCACCAATGCTTCTCCCTGCAGATGAGATCCGTAAAAAGTTTGAGCAAGCAGGTTCGAAACTCTGATTCATCTCACTATCCAAAAAAAATGTAGTTTGGCCAATGTACACATGAAAAGTAGAACAGATATTTCAACAAATCAACAGTGTAGATTTTCTTACTCAAGAGATGATATTTCTTAGGGATACGAGGATACTATAGCTGTAGAATTATGAAAATTTCACCGAGCAAAAACCAATGACAAACACTCGTTTGACGTTTCTGCAGGGATATCCCTTGATCGCCCCATTGTAGTCACTTGTGGATCTGGTGTAACTGCCTGCATACTTGCTTTGGTTTGAAACATTACCTGCTCATCTTAGATTGTGCCATTTGGTTGTAAAGCACTCTAACAACTATCACTTTACAGGGACTCTATAGAATTGGGAAGCAAGATATTCCAGTTTATGATGGATCTTGGACAGAATGGGAAGCTCTACCGGATCATGATTATCCAAAAGTTACCTCCAATGGTTCTTAAAATCATCAGCTCCGAAATGATGGATTCATCTGCTGCATTTTTCACCATTCAGTTTAGATTGTCAGCTGGACTGTGTTCTCTTTGACATGCTTAGCGTTTGAATCAAAAGGAAGCGGAAATGTGCACTCTTGGCAATTTTGATGAGGCCATATTCAATATTAAACTTAGATCGATGATGTACTGAATGTTATCGTTAAACAATAATAAGCATACCAATTGATTTTATATCAGAATGACAAACTGTGTTGTCACTACATTATTTTTTTTTATTAGTTATGTGCTCTGTAACAGTGCAATAAAATGAATTTGTTTACCACAAGTGCAAGTCCGCAACCTAGTACCTCAGGTAGCAATTCGTTTTACATAAATATAAATAAAATGATTAATAATTGCTCAACTGAGCAAATGATATTTGTACTAGGTACAGAAGATAAAAATCTCTGCTCCCCAGTACAAGTTGAGTGGCAGTACAAAGTTATCGTCCTTTGCTATAAGACAAATACTCTCTACTCAGCAAGTTTTTGGCTAATTATTAGTCAGCCCATGCTCATGGATGCAAAGAAAAATGGCTCAATTCTAGACCCTTTTATTTATTCTTCAATTGAAGTTTTGAACTGACAAGCTATTTCATTTCATCCAATGGCCCATCCAGATAAATTTAGCTTTACTGTCATATATTGGGGCTGGAATCTCTTTGCATTTCCAAAATCCAGAGGCTCTCCACCCATCAGGATTCAACACTTAGCAGCCATATGACAAACATGAACAGATCATGTAATGTCCCTTTGCGCCTAATCTGCAACATATATCATTTTGCCTTCCAGATTCTTCCACAGATCATTCAGACGCCCCCCTGACCACATTACAAGAATGAATCCTCGAAGGCTCTCAAGCAAATGGCACCAAAGTGGCACAACTGGATTCAGCAACCATTTGCTTAGATTTATCAGTGCATTTTGAGTATTTGACAGCAGAAAATCCACATGTTGAATCAGCCGACACAATTCTCATCTTGGTGTACCTGAGGAATGCTATCTTCGTTGCTAAACATGGTGAGTTCTCCACCATCTGCTCCAAGATCATCAGCAACCATAAAGGCACGAACACCATCCTTCTGATCTATCCAGCTATATCCACGACCTTTGACAACTCCACGATTACTCATCAATGCCCTAACAGCCGATGCATCCCCATGTCGGCCCAAAGACGCATATATATTTGACAGAAGTACATAAGGAGATGGGTTTTTAGGATCAATTCGGAACAGGTGCTCCGCAGCACATTTCCCCAATTCAGCATTGTGATGTACAACACATGCAGCAAGTAGAACTTCCCAGATTATAGGATCATCTTTGCATGGCATTTTATGTATCAGGGCCTCCACTTCTACAAAGCGGCCAGCTCTTCCCAGTGCATCTATGAGACAAGTGTAGTGCTCAGCCAATGGTATAATCCCATAACTGTTCTCCATGGAATTAAAGAATGCCATTGCTTTGTCTACGAGCCCGGAGTGACTACATCCTGTTAAGACGGCGATGAAAGTGACAGCGTCTGGCTTCTGCTCTGTAGTTAGCATATACTCAAATAATTCAACTGCTTTGTCTCCAAGACCATTCTGAGCATATCCATGTATCATCTCATTCCAAGCAACTATGTTTTTCATCATCATGGTGTCAAAGAAAAGACGCGCATCATCCATGTTACCACATTTAGCATACATATCGATAAGCGCACTGCCCACATAGACATTCTGATCATAACCATCTTTCATAACCTGAGCATGTATCTGCCTGCCGTGAGGTATAGAAGACAATCTAGAACACGAGTTTATCATACTAGCATATGAAGATTCTGTTGGCATGATCCCATTTTCCCTCATCTGCTTGAAGAAATCGAAGGCCTCTTTATTCAAGGAATGGATAGTCAAGCCTGAGATGATGGAATTCCAGCAAACCACATCTCTCTCGGTCATCTTATTGAAAATGCTCCTAGCAATACCAATCTGACCACATTTCGAATACATATCGACCAGACCACTAGCAACAAACATGTCGTTGTGAAGCAGGAATCTTACTGAAGCAGAATGCACCTGCCTGCCAAAATCCAAAATTCCTAATTTAGAGCATGAGCTGAGGATCACGGCCAAAGTAGTCCGGTCAGGCTGCACATTTTGATGCTGCATCCTTCTAAACAACTCAATTGTATCTTGATGCTGTTCCTCCTGGCAGTATCCTGACAAAAGTGTGTTCCATGTCGTCACACTTGGCCTTGATATCTTGTCGAACATTGCACGAGCAGAATGAACATCCCTTGCCTTAATACAGGAAGCAAGCAAGTTACTGTAAGTGACCTCATTGGGCTCAAAGCCAGCCTCTTGCATCAGGCTAAGTACCTCCACTGCCTTTGCACAGCTACCCTCTTGACCAAATCCAGTTATAAGGATGTTCCAAGACACAATAGTGACACTGGGCAACGACTCGAAAACCTTGACAGCCTCATCCATCTCCACGCACTTCGTGTACATATCGATCAACGAGTTCCCCACATGTTGGTCTGATCCAAACCCTTTTCTGACAACTAATGCATGAATGGCCTGTCCTAGCCGGAATGCTCGAGCAACGCTGTAATCAGTAGCGCAAGCTTGCGCGCAGGCGCCAAGAACACTAGAGACAGACACGGGATCAACAGGAACCCCGCTCCTGCACATCCTCGCGAACAGCCTCAGCGCGTCGTCGATGGACCCCGTCTGCGCCAGCCCACCCATCATCGCCGTGAACGACACCTCGTTCGGGCGAGCCATTCCGTAGAACAGCCTCACCGCGTCGCCAACGCTCCCACACTTGGTGTACATGCCCAGGAGCGCGTTCTCCACGAACTGGTTGGCGTCGAGCCCGACCTTCACCGCCACCCCGTGGCACCGCCTCCCGTCGCCGAGCGCGGCAAGGCCACCGCACGCGCTGAGCACGCTGGCGAGCGTGAAGTGCGTGGGGAGCAGCCCCTCGGCGCGCATCCGCCCGTACATCTCCACCGCCTCCCCGCCGTCACCGGGCGACCGCGCCAGCGCGGAGATGACGGTGTTCCACGACACGGCGTTCCGGCGCGGCATTCCGCCGAGCAGGTCACGGGCGGCGTCGAGGTCCCCCGCGCGGCACGCCGCGGAGAGCGCGGCGTTGTAGGAGTAGTCGTTGGGGCTGGGCAGCGCGCGGAAGGCGAGGAGCGCGTGGCGCGGGAGGCCCGCGCGGGAGTAGAGCTCGACGAGGCGGTTGGCGAGGAAGGTGTCGGCGGCGAGGCCGGCGGCGAGGGCGCGCGCGTGGGCGGCCTTGGCGTGGGCGCGGCTGGGCTTGGGGCTCCGCTTGATGCAGGCCTCCACCACGCCGGCTAGCTGGGCCGCCGCGCTCGCCATCTTCCCTGTCTCTCAACCGCGCGGGAAATTCACGAGCAACGACGTCTTTTATAGTGGCCGGGAGTAGCTGGGCCGTGAGATGGGCCTAAGGTTGATTTGGGCTCACATTTTAGAGGCCTCTGTTTCATCGTGCACCAGTGGGCCGTCAAAATTCGTCAACTTCTCTTCTTTTTTTTTGAGAAAATCCCTTTGTGTACCCACTAATCCGTTCCATGCCCTCAAATCATACTTGATCCCTTCTGACTTGTGTACCCAAAATTTTGCTTCAATCTACTCTCTCTGTTTCATGTTATAAAACTTTCTAATATTATCCACATTTATATATATGTTAATGAATCTAGGCACACATATATGTCTAGATTCATTAACATATATATGAATGTGGGCAATGCTAACAAGTCTTATAATATAAAATGGAGGAAGTAGTTTCTTTCTAATACGGTGTATTAAGGTTTTTTTTTGGTTGGACGTTCATGTCTAAATACGCTGTAGTAGTAAACGTCCCATCCAATTCTAGATTTATATATTCTGGGATAGAAGGAGTACCATATAATTGTTTCCAAATTTACCTAATATTAGATGCTCATTTTTTTTATCAAACTTTAAAAAGAATAATGTTACCATACTTTTTTTAGCCATTAACATATGGTGCCTAGAGGAGATCTTGTTACAACTATGATTGTTTAAGTTGGTTAAACTGTTGTCTGAACTTAGACGTGACAAAATGCGACTTGTTTGTAAGTGACAAACAAAACAAACAACCCTGATGCTAACGGTGGTAAACGACCAACTTCTCATGTCCTTGTACATTTGATATTCATAGTAGTAGCATATTCTTGAGAAAAAAACCATGACTTTTGTGAACACATGTTCCGTTGGTAAAATTGCATACCTACGCTACGTGAGCGCATGAGTTCTACTCCCTCTATCTAAAAATATAAGAAATTTTATGTGGGCATTGGACGCATCTTAATATTACGAATCTAGACAGACTTCCAACCACTACGATTAAAAAAGAAAAAGGTTCTTAAAAAAAATGTGGGCGCATTAATTCGACCTGTACTAACAAACCTAAAAAAGAAACAAATGTTTATGACCAGATACAGCAAATCCTAGGTACTGTAACTACTAGTAGCAGATAGATTTGCCGGGTGTTAGATCCGATCGAGAAGAACAAACAGTTACAGCTAGCCCATGGATTAGATCTCCGATGATAAATCCTAATCTTAATGCAGCAACCATGATCCATCCAGTTCATCAGTTGGTGCTTTTCATGAGGCACACACGTGATGGTCATGGTCCTCATGGACCAGCAGGAGCAGTGTATCAGTGGATGCACACATGTGAACAGAGCCAACAGCAAGAACAGATCTATCCACTTCGCTTAAACATGATTAGCCACTTACTTTTGCTTTTCAATTAAGAGGCAAGATGAACTGATGTTCACTGATAACAATGTATGATCTGATCTGAACTTATGACAACAGTTTTGTCATCATTAACCAGGATTATCAATAGAATGCGACCATATCCGGCAAGAAATTAATTAAGGCTTCTAATTAAGTTGTAATCTGTTTTTAATTACTGATTAATAATGACTTTGATGTCAGTCGGTCAATGTGGCTGCAACTACTACCGTGATGGGGAGATGAGAACAAGAAGATGGATAGATGCAGCAGTTTGTTGGGAAGAAGCTGTCGAAAGCGAAATACCATCTGCTGCTGCTGATAAGGGTCATAACTTTGCATGCGTTTCATGGCCCAAGTTTCAGCTGTGTGTGGTCCTCTTTTCATTTTTCAGACAAATGTAACTGTCTCTGGTCCTGCTTGTTTGTAGCTAGATCTGTACTGGTGTTCACTGGCTTAATTATTTGGCAAACCAGCTAATACTTGCATGAATTTTGGCGGAATTTATATCAGCCACGTACGACAGGGGTATTCTGAATTTGTGGTGGAATTGCTGAGCAGAGTGAACTTAATTTCACACTGAAATTTAAGGTACTGTTTTTCTGTTCACTATCTATTTATTCCTTACAGGAAGAATTTATAGTTTGTAACCATGAAACACAACCTATTTATTTAGCCTCGTATGTATTCTGGATCTGTGATAGAATTGGTGACCATTAAGTACAACAGGCGGATGATTATTCAAACGATTAAAAAAAAGGTTCAACTAATCGCTAAATACAGAGTTCCGACGTCCAGAAAAAAAAAGATCGTATCGCGTTAATGAAACGGTTTTGTTATTGTCACCGTATACAAGAATGTAGCAATACATTACTCCCTCCATTAAAAAAAAACACAATCTTGAGTTTAAATTTGGATATACACTATGTTCAGATTCAAGCTTAGAATTGAGTTTTTTTTTTTACGGAGCGAGTATAACCTACTTTAATGAAAAAAGTCCTTGATGAATTAATAAACTCATTTATCTCCCTCCAGAAAAAAAAGGGGTTAAAATCGAAAGCCCACATCAGGTTTAGGCTACATACACCAGTGTACAGTCCACTATACACCCACCCGGTAAAACCACCCCCCTCTCACCGCCCAAAACAAAATTCCAAAATCACCTCCTCCCCAAAACCGAATTTTAAATTTGAATCCCGGTAATCTCACCGCCACATTCCCCTCACCCACCCTTTCCCAATAAAATTCCCCACCTCCCCCCCTCCCCACGCTTCCCACCCCCCAAATCCTCCTCCCTCCCTCCCCTAAACCTCGCCGGAATCCAACCCCTCCGCCGCCGCCATGAGGGAGATCCTGCACATCCAGGGGGGGCAATGCGGGAACCAGATCGGGGCCAAGTTCTGGGAGGTGATCTGCGACGAGCACGGGATCGACCACACCGGCAAGTACTCGGGCGACTCCGACCTCCAGCTCGAGCGGATCAACGTCTACTACAACGAGGCCAGCGGCGGCAGGTTCGTTCCGCGCGCCGTGCTCATGGACCTCGAGCCGGGCACCATGGACTCGGTGCGCTCCGGTCCCTTCGGCCAGATCTTCCGCCCCGACAACTTCGTCTTCGGCCAGTCCGGCGCCGGCAACAACTGGGCCAAGGGGCACTACACCGAGGGCGCCGAGCTCATCGACTCCGTCCTCGACGTCGTCCGCAAGGAGGCCGAGAACTGCGACTGCCTCCAAGGTATTTTGCTAGATCTGCTCGTTTTGTTTGGAATGGTGGGAGATTGGGTGTTGCTTTGCTGCATTCCGCGTGTAGATCTTGTGTTCCATGCTTGTCGTAGCGCGAATGGTGGGGGAATGCTGCGATTCTAGGGTTCTTAGCTCGTAGATCTGGCCATTTTTTTTTACTGAACATGTAGATCTGTGTGTTTCACTGCGCAATCCATTCGTGGTGTAGTTGGGGAGGAGATGTTCCAACTGCTGAGATGTGGTGATTAGCACAGTAGGTGTGGTGGTTGTCAACAACCTTGTTAAGCCTTTCCTCGTGTAGTACTTAAGATGTGGTAGATCCGGCACAATTTCATTTATCATTGTATGCTTGATTGGTTGGTTTGTTGCCTTGCTTAGCTGCAAATGTGGAACTCTACATTCCCCTGACTTGTAGTAAACTGTAATTTTTCGCGAGTTGTTGAAGGCATTTTAATTCGAACTGACACTTTTACACTTGCAAGTGTAACTGCAAGCTACTAAAATGGTAGTAGAATCTAGGGGCTGTAATTCAAGTTTTACCTTTGAGCCCAGCTTATCTTAAGGTTGTTTCTGGTGCAATACTCTGATATTTGCTAGAATGATAGATGCAGTTAGGAAAATAATGCAGCATATTGTTGTTTAGTTCTACTGAATAGGTATGCTATGTGGTTTCTGTCACATTCACACATCAGTAGTTCACTTGGTGGTGCCTTAAGTGAAGCGCTTATGATTCACGCTGATGTGTTGCAGTTTGTGTTCAACATCAACTGAATATTGGGTAGGAATTAATGTATGTGCTCCATTTGCCACAGGATTTCAAGTCTGCCACTCTCTAGGAGGAGGAACTGGTTCTGGTATGGGTACCCTGCTCATCTCAAAGATCAGGGAGGAGTACCCGGACAGGATGATGTTGACATTCTCAGTTTTCCCCTCACCAAAGGTTTCTGATACCGTGGTGGAACCTTACAATGCCACACTATCTGTCCATCAGCTTGTTGAGAATGCCGATGAGTGCATGGTACTTGACAATGAAGCTCTATATGACATCTGCTTCCGCACTCTGAAGCTCGCCACACCCACTTGTAAGTGAAAACATGCCATAATTATGGTACTGTGCTCAGTTATCGTACTCTGCTCTATGTTGTTATTGATCATTGATTTCATCCTGGTACATCAGAGCAGTTTATAATCAGTCACCTTTATGTCAGATGCCACTACCAATTTACTCTTTTGTGAAGTACGGAGTATAATGAATTAGCTGGTCCATGTTCCCCATTGTTGTGTGTTTCATGCATCCTGGCACTACTTGATTCAATTAATGAGTATGTCTGGAACTTGCATTCGAATACACTGATACTGAATATATAGATGATAAGTCTGTACTACATGTATGGGGTCTACAGTGTTGATATGAATATGGGTTTCTTCATGCTGTTTTACCTAATTCTGACTCTGCTTTGTTTCTTTCCTTTTGCAGTTGGTGATCTGAACCATCTTATTTCTGCAACCATGAGTGGTGTTACATGCTGCCTGCGCTTCCCGGGACAGCTGAACTCTGACCTCCGCAAGCTGGCGGTTAACTTGATCCCCTTCCCTCGTCTCCATTTCTTCATGGTCGGCTTTGCACCGCTGACCTCGAGGGGATCCCAGCAGTACCGCGCCCTCACTGTCCCGGAGCTGACCCAGCAGATGTGGGACGCCAAGAACATGATGTGCGCCGCCGACCCCAGGCACGGACGCTACCTCACGGCGTCAGCCATGTTCCGCGGGAAGATGAGCACCAAGGAGGTGGACGAGCAGATGCTCAACGTCCAGAACAAGAACTCGTCCTACTTCGTGGAGTGGATCCCGAATAACGTGAAGTCGAGCGTGTGCGACATCCCTCCCAACGGCCTGAAGATGGCGTCCACCTTCATCGGCAACTCGACGTCGATCCAGGAGATGTTCCGCCGCGTGAGCGAGCAGTTCACGGCCATGTTCAGGAGGAAGGCCTTCTTGCACTGGTACACCGGGGAGGGGATGGACGAGATGGAGTTCACCGAGGCCGAGAGCAACATGAACGACCTGGTGGCCGAGTACCAGCAGTACCAGGACGCGACAGCCGACGACGAGGAAGAGGACTACGGCGACGAGGAGGAAGACGAGGTTGCTGCCTAAGCCACCTACCTGCCTGCCATTCCTCTCGCTCTCGTCATCCATCGTAGATGATGATTGAGGATGTGCTCCCTTGTGTTATTATTACCTAGTACTGTATTGCAACTGTCGATCTGGGTCGTAAGATGTTTATTTTAGGTGATTTGATGCTCTAGTTACTCTTTTTTTTCCTTGTGTTGATTAATGGTGTGTTGTCGATGCGAATTGTGATACTAGCTTTAACTGTGGACTTAAATTACTAGATCCTGGAATTGATACTGTTTGCCAGTAATATCGTGTGTTGCGTGATCATTATTTTTTCCACTACGAATACACTGCGATGTCATTAGTGGGCGTGTGCTAGGATGTAAACGTGGATGCAGTTGTTCTAAGCCTCCGTGGTTTGCTTGTTATCTATCTTATACAGCCAAAATTTGAAATCTGGAACTTAATTTTAAGTTAATTTTGGGGTTCATTCATCTTTCATTTCCCATATCGACTTTTAAAATACAATGGCATGTGTATATAAGTTGTGCCCATAAATTACTTTGGGGTGCTTAGTTCATTTCCCACGGCTGATGAGCCGTAGATGGAACAATCAGAGCTGCAACTTTTGTAGTATTCGTTTTCTGAGCCCTAAATAGCTATAATACTTATACTTGTTTGGTTTGTTTTATAGATAATGGAATTTATTTGAGACAAATCGGAGTCAGTAATGGACTTTTTCAAATTTTTTGGATTCAAGAATTGTATCGATGTCCCATTCGAACAGGCATCAAAGTCGTTGTAGTATAGTGGTGAGTATTCCCGCCTGTCACGCAGGTGTGACCCGGGTTCGATCCCCGGCAACGGCGTTTCCATTTTTTTTAATATGAACGCGTCTAGTCCGAATCGAATTTTGGTCGGGTACATATATTTTTTACACCGATCGATTCATACCAACGATCGATCCTACATTGACAAGTTCCAATGTTGCGTTGCTCCGGCGAATCAGATCATCGTCGACTAATGGCCGGTACCGGCGGCGGCAACCAGCAGCGTCAACGACAGTATGGACGGCTACCTGCTTAGTAGTGTAGTGTTCTGGAAAAACATTCCAAATGGTAACAATTTTTTTGCCAATGCCAACAAAGATTAGCTTCAAACAAAATGGTTGCCAAATTTTGGTATGGTTGAGAATGGAAACAAACCAAATTTTGGTATGGTTGAGAAATATCACAAACATCGATATTTAATAGTCATACGACAAGAGCTCTCAATAATTTAAAATTTTAATCATACTATATGCCAGGATCAAGTCTGCTCAACACAAGCACAATCAAGTGATGCAGGGACAAATACCACGAGTAAAACATTACTACATCGACATTACAACAAAAATTGGCAATACAGCTCAAGACATCTCCCTGAATCTTGCCATAGCCTTCTTCTGGATGATGGTTTTGTAGCTATCACCAGCTTGCGCCTCCAGCGACGGGTCAGAAGATTTCCGCTGCTGACTTCCAAGTCCAGCCCTCACATCGACAGATTTAGCCTGCACTGGTTCCTTGATGCCACTACCAGTTTTTCCGAGACCCTGAATATTTGCGAAGGAATAGCAAGCAAAAGAGATTGCCAATGTATACTCAAGTCAGAGAATATTCGATTTACACAGCTTCCAGACTGAGGAAATATTGGCAAATTGATTCTTCTGCAGTCACAGTTAACTTCTCTTGTCTCACAAACTACTCAAGCCTACTGGAGCTATTTTCCCTCAAGCATTAGTGATCAGTAATTTCCACATTTATTCTAGCCTTACGAGGTAGAGCCAACAAACACAAGTAAATCACAAGAAATGATAGTTTATGGGTCAAACAAGATGATAATATAATCCACTAAATTTCCTTGCGAGGAAGCCTACCAGCGAGATTCGACAATCAATAAGTCAATACATTAGCTTTACCCATAACAGATAAAGATTTGCTCAACTCAGTCACAAGTGCAGGAAATAAAATTCTACAGCCTATATAATGCAACGGCAAGCCCAATATAAAAAACAATGAGTGGCTGGACAAACAAAAACGGACACCAGAAAGAATTATTCAAATACAGGCAGCAGCAAGGAAAGCCATCAAAGAGTAATAAACAAAATTAGTTATAGAACGTACCAGTCCTTCTTGCCAACCCATATTGCGCAGAATACGATTGCCCACATTGCTCTCATCTATTGCTCTATCAGCAGTGATAACCTCATAATTTTCAGTATTGCCAATTTCACCGCTAGAACGTTCACCCACCCCTGGAGGAAATGGCATTGACCCCATCTCACTTGGACCCCTTCGAGGGTACTCACCAGCTTGACAAGGAATATCCAGATAATTAATACAAGTCGATCAAGCTATATAAAGAGAAATAGCCTTTTATTGTGCCCCCTCCGATTGTGAATACCTAGTTCTACTACAAGTTTACAACTTTATCAATTTACGTATATTTGTAATCTAATGTTTCCTTAAGGTCATGCCAAAAAATACTCCACTCAACTCTACCCATATCACTGCGTTTTACTATCTTTTAGTTTGCATGCTTGTGGTGTTATTGGGAGTCTCTGGTCTTATTTTATTCAATTCATGATGTGCTTTGGTCAAAGTGACAAGTATCTATGAGTATATTTTACAAGCTAAATAGAAAGTACTGTAATGACAAAAAAAGCTATGCTGTGGATGGATAGTAAACTCTTGTGCTAAACAAATGAGGCTAGAAAATAATGTCTGTGAGAGCATTCTTACTTGGATCCAGTCCATCATTATCACTTCCAAGTGAAGAAGATGATCCATATAGATTTCGCCTTTCTGCAGCCCGATCTCTGTACTGTGAATGTCCTGGAGCCTCAGAAAACCGACGTTTACCACTCCCTGAAACTCCAGATGGAGTATAAGATGCTAGAGCAGATAATTCTGTTTTGAAGGGAGCAGAAGTAGGTGCCCCAGCATTTGCTGTTAACCCACATGTGCTTGTTGGTATGTTGGAGAAAGAATCAGCACCACCAGCATCAGATGGCGCATGAAATGCAGTGTCTGATCTGACTATTCCTCTACCAGAGCCTCTTATGACACCCATAATGGTAGTTCCTAAACTGTTACTGACAGGTGTAGGCTTTATATCAGAATCTATCATTTCTGTGGGTGCAGCTGTTCGTCCAAGAGAATTATAGCTAGCAGGCGAGTTCATGTCCTTAGCATTTCCAACATCAGATTTAGGCTTAGCTTTCACTGCAAATCCAGTTGAATTGTGTAAATTGTTTAATTTATCATCAGCAGAGTTGGATGGTTCCTTGTCATCAAGGATAGCACGCCCTGCCTGGCCTTCTTGATTTCTTTGTTTCCACATTGCTAGGACATTATTCATCTTTTTCTTATTCGCCAAAAGACTACCTTTTGATGCCAACTTGATCTCTTTTGCTCTCTCCTTTTCTTTCTTTTCTGCAGCCAGCGCTGCACTTGCAGCAGCTTGAACAGCTTCAGGTAATGAAGTTTTCTCACTTTGTTTAATCGTGGCTGCAGGTGCAGAAATCACTACATTTTTACCACTACTTTCTGAGGTCTTCGTGCTAGTATTTGCCATGTCCCCAGCTGCTTTACTGCTGTTCTGTTCACTACAAGGGACATACTGTTGAGTTTGTTGATCATATGAATACCACACTCCAGCATTACCATCATAGTAAAGTCCTGAAAACAAATACAAGGTTATAAACTGTAATACTTTAACAATTGACATGGAGCAAACATTTTTTTTTAAAAAAAAGGAAAATTGGAAAACATTTCAAAAACAAGTCACATGGAAAGTATTTCTGAATTGATCATAGTAAGAAAATTGTGGCAATATACATACCGGTATTTCCATCATAATAGAATCCTGAGGCTGAATCATAGTAATAACCAGACTTTTCATCCCAAACAAATCCAGACTGTGGAGCAGAGCCACTGCTCTGAGGTTCCGAGTTGCTATTCAGTTTGTCATCAGGATTGTACTCTTTTGGGGCCCAACCTATAGCATCATACTGGTCCAAAGGGTAAAAGAAATAAAATAATAAGCATCATGTCTATAATCTGCATAAATTGTATGTGAAAAACAATTGCACCTTACCCTACAGGGTGAGAAATTATTGGTTTTAGTGCATCATTTAATGGAGTTACATAACAGCAGTTCTCATTTTCTTCAATGCACTGTTTACTTTCCTGTGCACATGGTGACAAATTACAAGTAGGGGCTACAACTGACCTGCTGAGAAAATGATGCAGCCTCAATGGCAGCTGCAGCAAGGCTGTTTGACTGTGAAGCCCCTGATACCGGTCCATGTGTGCTTTTAGCATAAGTTACACGTAAAACCTGACCATTCTTCTCAAGTGTAATCCCATTCGTAGCTTCAAGAGCTTTTGTAGCTTCTTCCACCTAACACAATTGGATGCAGATAAATATGGGAGTAGACATCAAAGGAAAACTCAACATTTTTCCCACCACTACTTACTGAATGAAAATGGATGAAAGCAAAACCTCTGGACACATGAGTAAACTTATCCCGAACAAGGCGAATGTCCTGCACAACAACAGCATGTCATTCTCTCAACAGAAACGGAACACTGCAAATTTCAAGAGTCATAAGCTTCTTCCCACCTTTATAGGTGCATGCTTGGCAAATTCATATCGAAGCATTTCCTCGTCAGCATTTTCATCCAGACCACGAACAACTAAAACATGAGTTGGACCTGAAAATGCTAGTGTCTAATAAGGCAACTGGCAAAATAGTTTTAATAATCCTACAATAGAAGAACAGAGCTTTGCCTAGTTCAGATCCCCTTTTTGGATGGAGTGGAGTAGAACTTGTTGGATCAGCTGGTAGAGAATCTTCCGTTCGTGGTTCATTACACTACAAGAATAGAATGCAATTAGGCAAAAAAAAATCAAGAGCTTAAATAAACAAACATACAATCAGTTAGAAAGAAATGTTATTCCCCTGATGCCTTTATAATTGTCATCTTGGTCCTTGGAGATAGACAAAGTAGTTTTCATGACAAATTCACTAATGGCATTTTCCATGTGACACATCTTATTATTTTGTTTATATTTATACTAGTGGCTAATGATCCAAACATCATGAGTTAATCCAAAAGCTTACAGTTTATGCAATTATGACACTACTTAATTTGCAACTTCTCATTAACAATAGGGATGTTGAATCGAAAGGGAAAACAGTACTCCATCAAGGAAATCGAGGACAGAGAAACAATCCAAGCATGCTAGATTGGATTTATAAACAGAAATGACATCATGCAAACTTCTGTAAGACAATACTAAATGCAATGGGTATTGCGATGAAGAACACGCCTACAAAAATAATTTACAACAATACAGAGTAAAACATACCTGAAAACATGAAGTTCTGCGAGCAAAGTTCATGCATCCACATATAGTACATATCCAATCACATGGCGCAGCAGCAGTCCTGTGCCCATAGTTATACCTTGTAAAATTTTCTTCTCCATGAGAAGGCCCACTCATCCCACTAGTTGGTTTACTACTGCAGTAAACAAGTTGCCAGCAGTAATTACAGTGGAAGAAAAAGATATAAGTATATACTTTTGCAAAAGGTAAGATGCATGTAAATTGTTTTTTCTCAATGTGTCCTTCTGCAAAACTAAGCTTGATGCAAGTAATACACACTAGACAAAGACATGAATAACATCCAAAAGAAAGGAACGAGCAACTTAACACACTGTGAATCTTTAACACACCAATGGTAGATTGACTGTTTTGCATCGCAAGCTTATCACAATATAAAAACATTTACATGACCTTAGCAATATGCTACCAAAATAATTAGATATTTTTGTGCCCTATTTGGTCAGTCATATGCTATTTGGATCATTGTATTGCTAATGCAATCACATAGTTCAATTGAAAAACCTTAAGTGGGAAAATAGTGAGCAGTGAAACAACAAAAGGCAGAGCCACACGAGAATTTGGTATATGAAAGACATGCTCCAGTGAAAAATTACTATTACATGATGCACCCAGTTTAAACAGTTCAACCATTATTGAACCATCGAATATGCTGCAATTGTGTTGTTCACACCTCAGTATCACGTAAAGCAGACTACTCAACAATGTTACATACAAGTAAACTGGTGAATAAATATAGACGACTTCAGCTATTATAAGAAAACAAAAAGGGCACGTACCTGTACTGAAAAAATACCTTTCTACCATCAATTAGAAGGCCATTGTCTCCAACACCTTCCATCATTCTGCGGGCAGCTTCCTGTAGAGTACAATAAAATTTCTGAGCATGACACTACACGACGGTCTGAACAGGTAAGGTGATAGATCTTTTACGGTTAATACCACAGTAGGGAAGTCGATAAAAGCAAATCCCCGAGACATGCCAGAAGATCGTTCCTTAATTACGCGCACACTACGGAGAGGGCCCCACTCAGCCTAAAAGATATCAGACTCCAAATGATTAAATCGAACCAGACAATACACTTGCAACCAGTTTAACAGTTTATGAAGAGGAACTTGTACAAGAATCTGGTTTAGGTCATCTTCATTAGTCTTCTGGGACAGACCCTTAACAACAACAGTAGCAGATGGAGCCTACAAGCATGAATGGAAATGTTATTTGATTCATCAGTTCAAAACACATTTGAAGCATGCAATTATGTACAAAACAAAGGAATGACCATACCACTAAATCTCCATGCCTTCTCTCATCCCAGTCATACTCCCTTCTTCTGCCAAAGGAATTGTCATCATAAAAGCCATCTCTTTGGTTCCGACCACGACTTTTGCCACGGGGTGATCTTGATCTAGACCGAGATCTTGATCGTTCGTCACGCCCACGAGATCGTGAACGGCTATGTTGCATGTATGGACTTCTGTCTCTTTCATGACTCAACCCTCTTCTTTCATGTTCACTCTCACATAAATCACGCCTTCTCCAGCTACCATCTCTCCTGCTTTTCTCATAGTCCGAATCATAGCTGTAACGATCATAATCACGATCTCTCTCATAGCTATCCTCTCTACTATCCTCTCTACTTTGGTGAGAGCTGCGGTACCGGTCTTCAAAGTCACCGTGAAACTCCGCACGGTCTCTACTCCCAATCCTTTTGTTCCTATCAAAACAAAAATCACGGTAACTACCAGATTCATAGTTATCAGCAGCATAATTATCGTGGAGTATATCAACTCCTCCATAGGATTCAAATTCATGATGCTTTCCATCATTGCAATGATAAGTGTCATGCCTTCTGTAATCTCTAGCAGTTGAATATTCATCATCATGAAACCTTCGAGGTTGAGACAACATGGGGACAGAGGGTGCAGGTGGATACACATTTCTATCATGTGTGTCCTGATAGAATGCCCCCCTTCCATATGAATCTCCTGGGAAGCCATCATCCACAAACCTCCTACCATTGTAGGATCCACCGGCCCTGCAATTTGAGTCAATTGTAGAAAATATGGTAATATGACAGAGCACATTAAAGTGGACAACATGTCATAATGGAAAAAAATATTGCAACTACTCCCAATAAATTATAGCTGAGCACACTTCAAAAGTAAGTCGAATAGAATGGAAGATGTGCATGACTACAACCGCTAACAATCTAACATACCATCACAATAGCTTATTGACTTACCTATAATCTGGGCCATTGATGACACCATACCCATCCAATGCCTGTAGATTCAACAGAAGTTGAGTCAGCAAGTAAGTCTACAGAACAGGCATGTAACCCATTCCATTTAAGCAATGGCCGCTTCTTCAAATTCTTTACATCACAATGCTGGCCAACCACATGGCCAGCAAATCTGCTATTCCTTGTTAGCTAATAAAGGGAAAGGCTTCAATTACACTGTTGTTCTCCCATCCATGCTGTGGAGCATAACGCCCATGATCCATTTCTGATATTCGGCACTGATGTTAGACTGCAAAGTTCTTGGAGATCTTCAGAATTTTGGGTGTAGATTTTTCTACTGTCCTGTAAGAGATGCATGATATCACAAGGTTAAGCAAATGCCAACACGAAAACCACCATACTGGCACCCTTCTACTGCACATTCAATCAACTAATCAAGAGGACGTTCCTTTGATTGCTAATCATCTCAATATCAAATTCCACTTTTCAAGTTTCACTTTTTTTTATAGCAAGTGTCTGTTCCCCTTCTTAGAAATCCCTCCACCATGTGATTAGCAATTCCAAGTAATAAACCAACTTCACAAGTTACAAGATTCCATATTATAGCCACTTGGTTTACGATTTTGTACGTAGATGGGACGGTGGAGAATGAAGGGGACGATAGAAATTGGACTATTTGGTATATGATTTTGCATATAAAATTGTAGATTTGATAGTGGACATGGAAGTGTCAGAGGTGGAGCCACTGGACTTGGCACAATGTTGTAAAGTCAAATGCTGTTGCAGCAACTGCACAGGCACCCTAAACAAAAACTATACTTGATTCATTAGATCATGATTAAAATCTCAATAAGCCTCCGAATTCTAAGGTAGTAAATTACGATATGCCATGGCTTAGAATTCACATACACACAGGCAGCAGCAGCACAAAGTCAAACTATCATGACACCATCCAGAATCTCTAGGTTACCCCCAAGAAATCGGCAAAATTTTAAATCGCCAGAAGTTAATCCACTAGGGCGATTCCCACGACACCTCCGCAAAACACAAATCGAAGACGAACACGAGGTATCCTGACCCGTCGCACCCTCATCCTCCTCTCCTACTACCACTTTACCTCTCGATTCCGCGTGAGGTCGCCGGCGTAGCGGGGACCAGGCGGCCGTCGGGGCACACGGGGCCGAAACCCTAGCGCGAATCGCGATCCGCGATTCGCGCGCAGGACCAAAAGTAATCCTCCTCCCGCCGACGGCGCTCGGGCGAGCGAAGGAGGAGGCTAGGGTTTCCGCGGCGGGCGCGCGTGGCGTTCGATCGGCGGGGGGAGGAATCGCGGCGGCGCGTGGCGGCGGCGGCGGAGCAGTGGTGGCGTTGCGTGCGGCTTTGAGCTGTCGCGACTCGCGGACGCTTTGGTCGTTAGCGTCTTAGCGAGAGAGGGCGAGGACGTTGGAGAGGGAAGTTAGAGGCCCAGTGAGCTTCTCTGTTGGGCTATGTGGGCCGTGGCCCAATGCTCCTAACGCCCAAACGAATACGAGATCGATTTATTATTTCCTCGGTCCTATTTTTTGCGCGATTGCTAATCGGCGCGCGTTTCCGGCCCATAAGGCCCAGCGCCGGCGCGCGCACGCCTCCCACTCTTTTTTTTTGTTTTTCTTTACCCATTTTTTTTCGCATTTTCCTTTTTTTCTGATTATTTTTTTAATCTTTAGCATGTTTTGAGTTTGAAAGTTTTAAATTTTGAGTTGAAAATTTTCAAATCTGGACTAGAAAGTTTTTAAATCTCGAGTTGAAAGTTTTCAAATCTCGATTTGAAAGTTTTCAAAATTTTCAAATCTGGACTTGAAAGTTTTCGAATCTCGAGTTGAAAGTTTTCAAATCTTGATTTGAAAGTTTTCAAAATTTTCAAATCTGGACTTGAAAGTTTTAGAATCTTGAGTTGAAAGTTTTCAAATCTTAAATTGAAAGTTTTCAAAATTTTCAAATCTGGACTTGAAAGTTTTCGAATCTTGAGTTGAAAGTTTTCATTTCTGAGTTGAAAGTTTTCAAAATTTAACTTTAAATTTTAAAATTTAAATCGAAAATTTTCAAATCTAACATAAAATTTTTTTAATCTGTTAGTAAAAAAATCTCCCGAATCTTTTCTAATTACTATCATTAGTGTTAAGTATATTAACTAATAGAGGTAATTAAGTATATTAACTAATAGTGTTAATAGAGGTAGTTAATAGGGGAGGAGTGCTCGCTAGCAGCGAGCACGCGTTAGCTAGGAGCCCCCTATTTTTTTGGGACTATTTTATCAAATCTTTCGATGGAGAGCTTCAAATCTTACAGGATTTTTAACTAATAGATGCATATCTTTGTGAATGAAATAAAACAAAAAAAAAGACAAATATATCAAAAATCGTCAATCTAGAGAAAAAATATTGTTGTAAAATCTAATTTTGATATACATCGTAAGTGAGTGCAAGTGCTCTGTAACTGAGTGTAACTGCAAGTTAGATTTATAGAAATATAAATCTTGATGCAATATCATATACGGATAAAAAAAACGAAAGATAGAAGTCCAAAATCTGTCAAAAGTGAAATAGCAAAACCGTAAAAAAGAAAAAAAACTCTTCGATTATATGGAAGATACGTACACTCACATTCCATGAGTACGTCCTCTACTCATACTAGCATAAGACCATTACAGTTCGACTAGCTATGATAGATCTTGTGTGAATTGTGATGCCAATACCTTTCTTGCAGAAATCTCTCCAATTTGGAACAATGTTATAGCAACATTTGCAGCATGTATTAAAGGAGAAAATACAGTTATCCATCATCACTAGATTAATTTTTCCAGCCCAGTCGGTACATGTCCCTTCACAGTCACAGGTGAATGGACCAAGAGTGAGACTGTGAGAGCTAGCCGGTGTCTCCATCATCAGTGGAAAAAGGATCGAGCAGATGTCGACGGAAGGTAAATTCTACACGGTTTGTAGAAGACGATGGCCGCCTACGCTTTCACTCGACGTCGACGCCACAGAATACGTACATATAGACTATGTTTAGTTCACGCTAAAATTGAAAGATTGGTTGAAATTAAAACGATGTGATAAAAAAATTGGAAGTATATGTGTATAGGAAAGTTTTGATATGATGGAAAAGTTGAAAGTTTGAAGAAATATTTTGAAAACTAAACACGGCGATTACCTACGTACGGCACAGAGACGGCAAGACACGTATAGATGATGTATATTTATACGCGCTGGTAAAAATTAACCCAACCACAATTAATTCGATTTGACGACCAAAAAAAATCGCCCTCTGCTATCGTTGTCAGCAGAAAGGAAAAATAAATTTGGTTTCAGAAAAAAAAGAAATTAAAAAAAAAGGCAGCTGCTAGCTACTCCTACCTAGCAGGTGTAGAAATTAAAGAATCGATCGATTGATCGAGGAGATCTTCTAGAAGACTCTGGAGGGGAAATTAACAAGAGGACGGCACCGTAGAAAGCGAAGCTTTTGACGACCATTATTCTCGCGTGCTAGCTAGCTCTTCACACGTACGGTACAAACACCGTGTAAAATATTGTGGCATCGAGATACAACGCCACGCAAATCGATGCCTTCAATTTACTGAATCATCCATAATTTTAATTAGCGTCGTTATAAACACCAGAAATACTTCACCTACGAAAAACTATTTGGCAGTTCCGCGGTTGATAGGTTTCGTATGTGCATGGCTGTCAGTTCATCTCAATATCGCAAATGTAGAGGTTAATTTGGTGAGGTCTATAAATTTACTAAGGGGCTATTCAGGTCGTAACCAAAATAAACCTTACGAAATTTTGGCAACACCGAAAATTTGGCAAGTTGTCAATATTGTCAAAATTTTAGCATGATTTCTTATGTATTTATCTAAGTTTAACAAAAAAAATAAATTTAGACACTTGTTTTTTTATATAATTTTGTAAAAAAAACAGTATGCTTGAAAATAACATCAATCTGAACAGCCCTAAGCAACTTTTAATATCGATATGTTTATATGGCTAAGATAGAAGGGACACTTAGTATACATGCAGGCATGCTTGATTGCCATTTAATTAGATTAGGGGATTGCTATAAGGGTGGATCTGGATTGTGAGTATGGGAAATCGGAGTGGTTGAAGGTAGGGGTGGAAACGAGCCAAACCGAGCTAAGCTCGGCTCGGCTCGTGAAAGCTTGATCAAGAACAGGCTTAGCTTGGCTCGGCTTGATAAATGGAACGAGCAAAAAGTGCAGCTCGGCTTGGCTTGTATAAAAGCTTGAGCCGGCTCGAGCCGGCTTGCGATGTAAGCAACAAGTAGGGCCGGCGACGCAGGGGACGTCGAGCTCGAGCGGCACTGGGGAGGGAGGCCAGAGGCAACGTAGGGGAGGGAGGCGGTGCCGCGGCGGCACGAAGCGTCGAGCCGTTGATCGTCAAGTGTCGCTTGGGAGGGAGGCCGGAGCCGGCGCAGCCGCACAGAGGAGGGATGCGGTGGGCCGGCGGCACCGAGGGGCGACTAGGGACTGGGGAGGGAGACGGCGGGCCGGCGGCGCAGGGGAGGGAGCCGGAGGCGGCGGCCGGCAACTCCTCTCGCCAATCGCCGCCAGACGCTAGTCGTGCGCGCGAGCGGCGGCGTGCCTGCGCCTGCGTGGGATGGGGAATGGGGAGGGTCAGCGAGCGGTTAGGGTAGGGTAGGGTTCTCTGTTTCTCATGGGCTAGACTGAAACAACTTGTTAATGGGCCAGGTCAGGACATGTACTCATGTTTTCCACAGGCTTGACGAGCCTACTGTGCGGCTTGCGAGCTAGCTCGGGCTCGGCTCGATTTGCAAACGAGCTGTGGAGAGAGCTCGGGCTCGGCTCGTTTAATCTTCGAGCCGAGCCGAGCTTCACGAGCTCGAGCCAAGCCCGAGCCGAGCTCACGAGCCCGAGCTTTTTGTCCACCCCTAGTTGAAGGTGAGAGCATCTTAGATATATGGCGCTAGCTATCAAAGACTTGGAATACGTTGAGCTAGCTGCCACCTAGCCCAACAATATTGATAGTTTGGAATATGTATTTTGGAATACATGTCGGTGAGGGAGAAGAGAACGATGGTTACTGTAGTGTAAGCAAAGATCTTAACATAATTTGGACTGTCCAAAAGTTATTGAAATTTATGGATAATTTTTAGTATCTAGAAACTAAACCATCTCATAAGAATATGCTAATTTGACAAGACAATTACAGTTAACTAGTTAAGGCGGCATAAAATTAAGGTATATATCACGCTAGAAGCAGCTAGTTGATCGAAGTTTGCAGTAAAATATGCATACTCGTCGTTTAATTAAGCGGGACCGTACCATAACTAACAACACCTTTTTAATTAAGGTCCGATGTCTAGATTAGCAGTTAGTTTATTCGTGAGTTAATTTAATCGCAAGACATAGTCCATTCTAGTAGACTCCGAGTCAAAAAGATCGGGATGTGAGTAGGAGAAAAGCACAACGTGCCTTTCAGCAGATAGCTTTTGAAAAACAAACAGCGAACTGATCATAGTACGCCATTAAAATAACACCCGTGTTTGAAATATCTCACGCATGATGCATCCGAGCTAATTAATTGATCGTCTAGTCCTATTCTTGCTCCTGATCCTAGACGTTAATTAATTTACAAGGAACTATTACATGTTGCATGCTAAAATTTGGAGTCCATATATAGTTATACATATATTTACCCATTTCAGATGAAGATTTATAATATACTTAGATAAATATATTTTTTAGATATATTAGTCTTAGCTTTTGCCCTCCATTAATTTGTTGAAATTGTTTAGTTTATCTTTGTTGAGAGAACGTCCGTTGTAACAAGCGATTGAAGCTTGTTTGAAGCAAATATCATAATTCATTCCATTATCTTAAAAAGAAATTTACAGTGTTTGAAAACATACTTATACTAAAATTATATACTAATTAAAGATTTTGATACTTTAAAATACCTCGTGCCTGGTACTATCAAATTTTATATTAGAAAATACTCTCTCCCGTCCCGACCTTCTCAAGGATAATCATATTCTAAAAGGAAGATTAATTATTTTTTTTCCTTTTATATATAGCTGTCGTCAAATTAAAGTTATGTTGTTCTTGGTGACAACCGAAAGATATGCATATATGGTTTGATGTATCGAGATCAAAAGTCGTGCTTTCTTGCGTGTGGCCGACGGGTCGCTTTCGTGGCATGCAATAGTACCATATTATAGTATGCTGCAACTTGACCACCGTGCAGTATTCGTACGCGTAGGTACGGTATGGTAGTAGCTAGTGGTACGGAAAGATGAGCCAAACGGTCCTAACAATCCAGTAGTATCATCTTTTTTTTTCACTTTTCTTTTTCTTTTCATCAAGAAAGAAAAAAGGAAAGCATGGGAAGATATGATAAAGATTG